AAATTTACTTCTACAGTCAGACTGATTTGCAGTTCTCTTAGTGTGCACTGATATGACTCATACGCAGTTGTTTTTTCCTGCATGGCCAAATTTGACTGATAACATGCAATCAACATCAACCTGACTGACCCACCGTCCTTCTGGCTGCTTTTGCTTTTTCTGATTTTCTAAGTTGTTCTGAGAAACTTCTCAGAATATTTTGAAATGTGCAAAAACAGGATGCGTCAGTTGCTTAAGCACTACATATTAACAACTCTACATAGAGAGAAAAACACCCAAACTCTGATATGCTTATAATGATTTAAATAGTGACTGCAGTTTTACATTCGCAAATAAATGTTTCATAGAAGTACCTTCAGCAACAGTTAATTCTGCAGTGACTTTGTTCTTACTTTCATCAGTGAATTTGTGACATAAACCAGGGGCAGCAGAAAGATGAGGATTAAAACGTTGCTGTTTCTGACACCAGCCAGTCCTCTGCTTCTGAACGCTGCTGCTACCATCACTGTTGAAATAAAAACAACATTTGAGCTTAAGAGAAAATGATGGAAGATAAAAGAAATGAACAAATAAAGAATCAAATCTATGTTTCCTCTTGTTATGTTAATAATATATTCTTTAAAGAATCTTGGGTATAAACCATCCTATGGTGTAGTTTTGCTGATCTTACCTGCTTGGTGAAGAGACAAACAGCTGTTTCACAGACTGAAAACACGAGGGGATCGCATGCTACAAATAATTAATGTTCTCCTGATGTGACTTCCCCCTGATCTATGAGCTGCTCTTTCACTTTATTTCACAGTTGTGATATGATCTATGTGGCGGGGGTGTGGTCTCCGGCCTGCTGCAGCAGAGGGGTGTTACAGTGAGCTCTCAGGGAGGTGTGGCTGAGAGGGCGGGTGGGACTGCTTAAGGTGATCATCTTCTTCTCTGTATTTTTAAATAGTGATGATGGGGACGGAGACTGGAAGGAGGACGGAGACGGGAAGAACACAGTTGCTTTTATATACCAAGTTTATATGCTGTTTATTTAGCATTTAACCTTCTGTTAGTTTGAGCCAGCCCGCCGATATCATCCAATTAATAAGGTGGGCAGTTTTAGTGTCGGTTGAGCGGCAAGCTTCTTCTTCTATACTCTAGGACAATTTGGCCTTAAGTGGTGTTCTGGCCGACACACCGGGGTGACCGTAGTGCTAAAGAGTGAATCAGTGCCACAACCATGTGTATTCCTGATATCTCCACTCCAATGAGAGAATGAGAAAGAGGAGGAAACACACACAGCAAATCTGATTAATTAAATGGGGCAAGCAAACCTAAACATAGAACACTACCAAAATAA